CGCTCACTGGCGTGCGGTTGCGCTCATTAAAGACGGGCAAGCTTTACATGGTCATTGAGTAACCAGCCAGCGATAAACGTGACTTCCCAACCGTTCCTCCATCCATCCCGCCATATCCCATCAAGCTTTGAAGGGCCTCGCTGCCCTTGCGTTTCAAACAATTAAGCCATTTCAGTCACTGTAGCTCAAACGGTCAAGTACAGATCTACAAATATGTGGCTGTGGTAGGTGTAGGTGTAAAGCTCGATAAATATTTGCCACCAATTAGCCAGACACTTTTGTTGTACGCCAACAACATTGTACAGCAATTTCAAAAGCCGTTATTATAACTATTTAATGGGTTTTCATCGAACGGCATACTACTATACTTGTATATTGCAATTAATTATATCGACTAAAATGATCCTCGACTGGTTACAAGCTGATTGACAAATTGCCCACTGAAATGCGTCAATCTGCCGTTCGCTATAAAGGTGAAGGGCTTCGGGAAACCCCTAAACGGTGCTGCTGGAAAAAGTACACGCTGTTCGAGATACCAGAAAATTCTTAGCATTGTTGCCACCTGTTGGCCAACTCACAGGCCACCCAGAGAGGGTTCAACACTCTCGACTCTTGCCAACAAAAGCGCCGCCAGCACGTGCTGTAGCTGCATAAATGCATTGTTTTATGGATGGGTGACACGATAGCTGCATAAATACTAGCCTCTAAATATAGTATACATAGCTGCACTATAGCGCACGGCATCTACGACAAGATCAGACTGATATAAATGGAATATAAATGAATAGTAAATAGTATGATATTATATTATGATGATTTGTATACATGATTTACGATATTATTTTATTAAAATATCACACTCCTAACAAAGACAAGGTATAAATTATATTCAAATCTGTAAATCTACAACATAATTATAATGTGAAAGTATTATTATAATAATATGATATGATATGTTTTGATATTATGATGATTTATGATATTATTTAATTAAATATCATACTCCTAACAATGACAAGAAACAACTAATATTCAAATCTTTAAATTTGCAATATAATTATAATATAAAAGCATTATTAATATAATAATATGATATGATATGTTGTGATATTATGATGATTTATGATTTTATTTTAATTAAATATCATACTCCTAACAATGACAAGATACAAATTATATTCAAATCTTTAAATCTACGATATAATTATAATATAAAAGTCTGAAAGTTTTAATATAATACTATGATATGATATGTTATATTATGATGATTTTCATAAATGATTTATGATATTATTTTATTTAAATATCATACTCCTAACAAAGACAAGGTATAAATTATATTCAAATCTTTAAATCTACAATATAATTATAATGTGAAAGTATTATTATAATAATATAATATGATATATTATGATATTATGATGATTTATGATATTATTTTATTTAAATATCATACTCCTAACAAAGACAAGGTATAAATTATATTCAAATCTTTAAATCTACGATATAATTATAATGTGAAAGTATTATTATAATAATATGATATGATATGTTATGATATTATGATGATTTATGATATTATTTTAATTAAATATCATACTCCTAAAAAAAAATTATATTCAAATCTTTAAATCTACAATATAATTATAATGTGAAAGTATTATTATAATAATATAATATGATATATTATGATATTATGATGATTTATGATATTATTTTAATTAAATATCATACTCCTAAAAAAAAATTATATTCAAATCTTTAAATCTACGATATAATTATAATGTGAAAGTATTATTATAATAATATAATATGATATATTATGATATTATGATGATTTATGATATTATTTTAATTAAATATCATACTCCTAAAAAAAAATTATATTCAAATCTTTAAATCTACGATATAATTATAATGTGAAAGTATTATTATAATAATATGATATGATATATTATGATATTATGATGATTTATGATATTATTTTAATTAAATATCATACTCCTAAAAAAAAATTATATTCAAATCTTTAAATCTACGATATAATTATAATGTGAAAGTATTATTATAATAATATAATATGATATATTATGATATTATGATGATTTATGATATTATTTTATTTAAATATCATACTCCGAACAAAGACAAGACACAAATTATAATCAAATCTTTAAATCTACGATATAATTATAATATGAAAGTCTAAAAGTATTAATATAATACTATGATATGATATGTTATATTATGATGATTTTATGATGATTTTATGATGATTTTATGATGATTTTCATAAATGATTTATGATATTATTTTATTTAAATGTCATACTCCGAACAAAGACATGACACAAATTATAATCAAATCTTGAATTAGGAATATTTGGAAAAAATGGAAACGAAAATTAATTATCAAATACTTCCTGAAACAATGGGTGCATGATTTACTGTGCCTCTACATAGTGCCCTGTTTGATCAGAAATTCGTTCGGACATTGCAAAAAAGATACGATCGGTTATGATATAATATGATATTTGAAGCATATGACATTTAATAGAATCTGAAATTATACAATACTCGTAGGTATGTGATATTTATGAGCCGAGAGGTATTGGAAAATAATAGTGTTAATGATGAATGACAATCTTGTGCTAAGCTGCATCCAATCCAATCCAGTTGATTGAAGCGCATTTCCGAGAACATCCATCTCAACGGTTGATGATGAATCGAACTGCATTAATAAGTATGTATGTACATATTTGTGTATGAGGGTTTCGAGACCTTTAACAACAGTCACGACGCATCGTCGTCCCTTGTCATCTCCTTCAACTTGGCCCCCCAAAAGGTGAAGGTATCGTTAACATTCTTCCATTTATTGCTGCTCCCCCACTCGATTTAAGTTAGTTAACATTCCTCGACTCTAACGTTCAAGTGGCAAACTCTTCGCATAGCTGATCGCTTTTGTTTCTAGCTATGCCTCGCCGATTTGTGATTTGCAGCTGTCGGGCGCAATATGCGGCGTAATATTCTCAGCCCTGTTAGCTGAGCAATTTACAATTTCTTGTTATTTCGTTTTTCTTGCTATTTCGCCGTGTTTCAATTATGAGATTGCAATGTTCTTCTAATTACTAAATTATGAGTGATTGCTGCAGTTCTGCTTTTTGTTGTTGTTCCCATTGTTGTTAATGTCAATTTGGTCTTTGCTGCTGTTGTTGTTGTTGTTGTTGCTGTTCTTGTTAGTTAGTTTATTTGCTTGCTTTTTCCAACTTTTCGTTTTTGCTGCTTTATGGTGGCACATAAACAAACGACGCGCAGCTGCAAGATGCACGCAATTTTTTGTTTGTTTCTTTTTTTTACAGACAAACAATAAAAACAAGCAAAAAGCTGCCGAGCGTATCACAGCCTGCCTCCAGCCCCCCAGTCCCTTACAATCCCCTGATCCCCTTACCCCTTTACCCCTTACCTCTTCAATATTCAATTCACAAGGCGAGCAGCCCTAGACAGCCCATCAATTGGTCTACAATGAAAGAATTTCAAGCAAAAAAAAAGGTCAATGTAAATAGCTGAGTATTACGACTTAGCCGCAGACATTCCTAAAAACAATAAGGGCAACAACAATGGCAACAATTAGTCATTACCTTACTCTGTCCGACTGATGATGGGGGCCAATAGAAATATAATTGTGTTGACTTTTGATAAGCCGGGCCGAGCGGCAGACGTGCCGACGTTCCATTGCTTTGTAGCGCCTCCGTTTCCAGGTAGAGTCGTGGGGTCTTGGGGCAATTTTAGGCTAATTGTGCCCACTTCTTATGAATTTTATCATGCGCAAGCAGATAGCTCAACAGCCGCTCAGCCATTTGATTGCCAATAATAAAATGGCAAGTCAAAACGTTTTGCCCATGACTGTCCGCTTTATTTTTGGCCACACATCGAACTTGTGTCCACTAAGATGTCAACATTCCTCGTCACAACAAAACAACAATTGCAATGACAATCTGCAGACGACAAATTGGATATGGAAACGTACCCCCGCCACAGTCCTTGCCTTGAAGACGGCAGCCGGTGCCATAACGTGTATTTTGTTATTTATTTATTTATTTATACAATATATGATTCTGTAATTGGGCCTTTAAGCTACATCAAGATTTATAGTCGGGCTATAATTTTTTATCTGAGCACACAATTGTTTAATTACTTGTTTGCGCTTACTCTTGTTGTGTGGCCAAGTTTTTGTTTTTGTATTTGTCATTCTTCGTCTGGGAAGAAGGCTGTCGGCTCTGAACGAAAATGAACTTCAAATCTTATCGCAGCATAGGTGGTTCTAATTAACCCACAAACTGTTGTTGACTGTTCAGTTGCATTTTTTTTGATTTCTTGATCATGCTGACTGGGAAATTGATAGCTGAAAGAGCTGAAAGCCCAGAGGCGGCTCTACGACAAAGAGTTATGCTGGGCGCTATTACAAATTAATGTGTAAGATATGTTGGAGCTTCTAAAATACTTTTGTTTTTGCCAAGTTGTTTTTTTTTTTTAGATTAATCCATATTTCTTCCACTAGAAACTTAACAATATCTGCTCAGCAGCCAGGAGTTGTTTATCTTCGTGATTTTGTAGAATTGATGTTAAAGAGCCTAACAGTTGATGCAAATTATTTTAAAAACTCTTCATTAGAATTTCTACTGATTTTTTCATTAAACTCTCTGAGCTTGCCTTGAAGATATTTAAGATTATCTGCTTCACCACTGAAAACAGATCTATATTTTAATAGCTAACGGTCTTAGTTCAATATTATATCTTAGCTTGGCTGCTTTAAAGCGCCCCTTTAAATAGGCGCCCAGCGACAATATACTTTTCTAATCTACAAGTAACCATATTTTCCCCGTTCCATCAAAGTGTGGGCGAAGCAGTGTTTGGTGCCACTAGCTTCTGAGACCTCATCAGATCGTTAATAGTCGACGATATTGTTGATAGTTGAAATGAACATGTTTTCGTTTCTTGCAGAATATAATGAAAGCAGCCTACTGGAGGAATCATTGAACTTCATCCATCAACTCAGTTTCGACATACTGCCTCGAGCTGCTTGTCCGGGTACTGATGAATCCTCGCCTTTGGATGACTTTCCCGAACTGTTTACAAGTAAGTAAAATAATTCACTAACAAACCTTAGTTTAGTTGCGTTTAAACGAACTATGAAAACAAATAATCTGAGAATCTAGTATCACGCTATCTAGATTTAGGCCCAGTCCGTATTACTTGCTCTTGAACTTGCTTGATGCACTTAGTTCCTGATTACAGCACATAGTGGGTTGGTCGGTTGGGCTTATCGCCAGACCCAGTCAATGTTGCGCCATAAGAGAGTGGCGATAATGAAAAATGCAATCAAATCTAATTCCATATTATCTTGATAGAACCATAGATATAGCTGGTCTTTCAAGTTCCCCATGCGATCGTCCATTATTACAAAGCATAGAAGGCACATCACACATATTCATTAAGCTAGGTACACACGATGCAAACAATTTTCAGCAAGTTGATTGCTGCAATCAAATTTGCACGTATAAACACGAGTGCAACCATTTTGCTGCAAACAAAGAACTTGCAAAAATTGTTTGCAGCAATATTTTTTGCTTGTCGTCTGTATACATTATTTTACCGTTATCTTGGTTGCGTCAGTTGCTTGCTTGCTTGCATGTGCTGTTTGCTTTCAGTCGCAATATTGCAGCAAGCAAAGCAACATGTGGGATCGCGAGGAAACGATAAAATTAATTGAATTTTACGAGAATTATTCTGTTTTATGGGATGTCTCGGCAGCAGAATATAACAAGATAGAACGCTACAGTCGAGCAAGCCCGACAGTAAAATAGCCTGTACTCTCCACAAAAAAGAAAAATTAAAAAAAAAAAATTAAAAAAAAAAATTAAATTATTAAAAAAAATTAATGAATTAATTAATTAAATTAAATTAGAATACATGTTTATGTTCAGTTTTAACAGCATACATTTACATCACGTACCTATGCGTGTTTATATGCGTGTATGTATGCAGCACAAAGTTGAACAAAAGCAGCAACAACAACAACAGCTGCGGGCAGCGCTGCCGACAGAGGCAGCGCATGAGCAGCGATTTTACTTATGGCTTTAACTTTCTTCAGAATTGACCTATCATGATGAAATTTGGCACACGGACACATTAGTACTAACTGGATGTACCTACCAAAATTGATTTCAAAATTCCGAGAATCACGGAAGTTATAAGAAAAAACACAAATTGCGGTGGAGTGGGGGGATGGGGGGGGGGGGGGGTGCATCGAAAAAAAAAACTCAACCTCGTAGTTTCTCGTACTTAGGAGAATATGGAAACCAAGTTTGGTTATTCTAGCTCTTATACTTTCTGAGATCCTTGCGTTCATATGGACAGACAGACGGACGGACGGACAATGCTATATCCACTCTGCATCTCATCATGATCAAGAATATATATACTTTATGGGGTCTGCCACGCCTCCTTCTGTGTGTTACATACATGCGCACAAAACTAGTATAGCCTTTCACCCTTTGGGTACGGGCTATAAAAAGAGCGGCCAGGGTACATCGGACAACTATACCAGCAGTTTTTCGATGCGCTTAAATTTATTAAAAATGACGACGGAAATAATTATAAAATTCAAAATTTGGTAAGTAGTACAATTTATTGCACATATTGTATTGAGCGGAGCAGGATTGGTGGGAGGATAATAATACGCGACAAAGTTTTGTGGATGAATGAACAACGTCGATAGCTCGACTGCTTTATTTATATATAAATTCTTATCCTAGTTCTTATGCTATCGCCTACATACTATCATCGATTCCTTATCTTCTACCATGTGTGCGTACTTTATCAGGTAGCTCATGTTAGCCAGCCGCAGCATGCTCATCCAGCGCGGTGGCGAGCCTGAGCTAATGATTTGTGTACTTACACATCCTTATCTATTAAGCTGGCGCCTGCCAGCTACGAAAATGTTGTTGTTATGTTCGGCATCTAAGGCCGAACTCATTATTATCTGTATAAGAGAGCATGTCTGTTTATCGAGGTTTTATCTATAGCAATATGATAATGTACCATTCGTGGTCTAGACAGAGCAAATCTAGCTTATCAATTAATTTACATTTACTTAGGATCTCGTTAGAATTGAACATGCTCCCCACCTTGAAAGGACTCCCTTTCAACTAGTATTGTTTCTTAAGTTTAATTTTAATTATACACGATTACATATATTTTCTTAGTTTTTAGGATAAACGTGGTAAGGCAAATGTTACGGGTAGAAATTGGGTAGAAAGTTGGCACATCTTTTTAAAGATGATAACGATCGCCACGATGAGACAAAATCCGACAATCCAGGAGGTGATGCTGATACCGTAAAGTGCCATTTGATGCGTATCGAGATGAATCGGGAAATCGAAGATTGTTTTGATCCTTGGGATATCGCGTACCTTATATGTTTTGATTTCACCCTCTACCTGCATATGGCTTATTTCAGGCAAATGGCTGGACAGATTTACTGTTGGTAGACGGAAGTTAACATCCATAGTAGTATCCTCGTATGCCCACAAGTTGGCTTCTTCAGTTTGTAGGAAGCATCCTGTATTAAGTTGAAGGATCCCTTGACCAAATATGGTGAGGCTTATGATATTTTCCTTGCAATGCATTTCCGCTGTTATTTTATTTGGCAGTGAAAATATCCAGGAGTTAGCCTTGTGAAGTTGAGCCCAATAATTTCGCGGGTTCATCACGTTTACCTGGCAGGTAGGCGGTAGCGTTTTTGTTTTTTGTAAAAGTAATATGTCGCAATTTGTAGCAGCGTTAACGTTGTATATTGTGTGGATTTGCGGACATAATAGCAGCCTTTCCATCTTTTGGCAGTAATTCAGATTTCCTTCTGTTAGTCCATAGAAACTGGCTGAGTTGTCATCGACGAGTATTTGAGTAAATTCGGGCTGAATACTGACGAATTTTCCATCGTGTAATGTGGGATATGGATAGATTACATAAGCTCTCATTTTATTGTGATTTATTAATGGGATTCTTATGTTAAATAACAGTGAGGTACTTGTAGCCCTCGTCGTTATTTTTGCAATTTTACCCAGCTCGACGGGATCCGTATCTGGTAATTGGACGCCCTCAGGCATATTTAGAGCCATGACTTGAATCTGCTGCTCAAATTGCTTCAACGGCATCAAGCTCCCCAGAAAATTCCCCTTAGTGTTCCAGACTACTGCGATGATGTCCCGCTGCAACTCTTCGAAGGCATCCATTCCAATTGAAAAGCTTTCTAATGCGGAAAGAATGTTATCGTTGTCTAGTTTCTTATTTATAGCACTTGACAACGTATACATCGTGTTGTTAATAACTTTGAAATTGTCCCAAATGACTTCATTCTGTTTCCGCATAATGGTTATTGTAGAATCCTGCACTGATGACTGGTTACGAATTAGGTCCCGGAGATACTCCTCGTTGTCTCTGCTCTGGTTGATTTTGTTGAGCAATACGTCCGCATGGTCTTCATCCATTAATCCAAATACGGCGTGGAAAACGTTGCCCATGAAACTGAGCGGCGCTCGAGGTTGTCGTTCTTTCTTGCTCCTCTGATTTTGAACAATAATGTCATTATTTTGTTCTAGCCTATTGAATTTGTTTTCTAACAGCTTCATCGTTGAGTCTAGAGTTGTGTCTTTTTGAATCTTCTCCTTAAGATGTAGTAATACGGACCAAGATGCTTCTATTCGATGCTTAAATGCCCAATACTCATCCAGATTTGCGTGAATAATTATATTCCATGATGTCCGCGTTAATCCCACGTCGCCAACGTTCTCAAAAAATATCCCTGCCTTATTTTCTAAATATTCTATTTTTTGACTCTTAACATTGTTAAATATCGACAAAAATGTTAAAATATATAAAATTACATTCTTATTTTTTAACTTTACAGGCTTGGGTTTATACTGTTCATTTTCATAACTATTTTGTATTTTATTTGGGTTACTTGTTTGTATTGCGGTTGTAACTACCGCAGTTGACGAGTTATCCTCGTCTTCGGCAGGAAAAGGACAAACATTGTGCACCGACCTCAGCGATATTCCATTGCTTGTCCTTACTTCTACCATTCTACAAAGGCCATCTTTACCTACAATGGTCTTTGTGACCCTGCCCCTCTTCCAATGCATTTGGGCCAGATTTTCTTCCTTTAATAATACAAGGGTTCCCGGTTTTAAATTTGGCATTACTTTATCCCACTTGTAACGCTTTTGCAATTCGGACAGATATTCTAACGACCACCTTTTCCAAAACTGTTCTTTGTTTTCTTGAACTGCCTTCCAGTGGTCTCGCAACCCTTTATAACTTTTACTGTCTACTGAGTCTACTATTGTAGAAAAAGACTCTCCCAATATAAAATGCCCTGGGGTTAGAACCTGAAGATCATTTGGATCTTCTGACAGCGGAGTTAATGGTCTTGAATTTAGTATCGCTTCTATTTCTATCATTAGTGTGGTCATTTCGTCAAAGGTCATTATTCCTTCTATAGAACGCGTAAAATGTTTTTTAACGGACTTCACGCATGCTTCCCAGAGTCCCCCAATGTGGGGAGATTTAGCAGGAATATTTACCCATTCAATTTGCCGCTCCACACAAAACTTGTCTATTGTATCTATCTGAATTTGGTCTTTGAATAATTTATATATTTCATTCAGACTATTTGCTGCGCCTATAAAATTCGTTCCATTATCGCAGTAAATTTTTTGTGGACAGCTCCTTCTGCCTACAAATCTTTTCAGAGCCCCTATGAAGGCTGCAGAAGTCATATCTGACACAACTTCTAAATGCACTGCCTTCGTAGCAAAACAAACAAATACACACACATAGGCTTTGTCAACTCGTTTTCCTCTGATTTTATGATGAATGGCTATGGGCCCGAGAAAATCTATTCCAATATTCAAAAACGGACGTGTTCGAATTACTCGATCTTCGGGCAGGTTTCCCATAAACTGATGTATCTGTCTTGGGTGTGCCTTAAAACAGCGGATACAATTTTTTGTAATTTTGCTGACTATTTGCTTCCCTCTCAAGGGCCAAAACCGCTGCCTGATTATTGCAAGTAA